AAGCTTATTTATAAAACTGCATGGCAGCTTACCTAAGTGCAGCACAAAAAATCAACATACCTACGTGATGCATACATAAAATACAAAACCGATATAAAACTACAACTGTGACAAAAGGCAATCAAGACAAGTAAAAGCAGTATTTGTAAAATGGAAATAAAGGAGTAGGAAAAACACAAGTATCAAAAATTAAACCCAATTCTAGCCCTCCCACTGTCTTTATGGGTGACCCCGCCAGGAAAGTTGACCATTGGGCAGGATTGATGGTTTATCCCTTGAGGTCCACGTGGCAGAGGTGAGGTGATGCTCACTCTTCACCCCTGCCACGTGGACTGCCCCTGCCAATAACTGCCAAAGACGTAGTACAGGAAACAGAGCGAGGCCTTGTACTCTCTAAAGTAAAACAGCCTGTGATGTCCGGTTGGCCTAAGCATGCCATGGATGAGGAGTCACCGCCCTATGTGAAACACAAGTTTGATCTAACAGTAGAACATAAGTGTGTACATTGGGGGTTCAGGGTTGTTATCCCTGAAAAACTGCATGGCAGGTTATTGTCAGAGCTGCATGATAGCCATTGGGGAATGGTGAAAATGAAGTCGCTCTCCCCCAGCTTGTTTTGGTGGCCTACTCTTGATGAGGATATTGAAAATGAGGCAAACCAGTGTGAAGTTTGTAAGCACCAGCGTAGCATGCCAGCCACAGCACCTGTGCACAAGTGGAAGAGGGCTTCAGGTCAATGGGAGAGAATCCACCTTGATTTTGCTGAGGTACATAAGCAAATGATTCTGGTAGTGATGGATGCCAATGCACACTGGCCTGAAATAATACACGTGCAGACCACTACAGCCAGCAAGACCATTGAAGTTATGAGAAATTTGTTTGCAGCGTATGGGTTGCCAGAAGAGTTAGTAACGGACAATGGTCCACAATTCACGCCTAGTGAATTTGAGGCGTTCCTTACCATGAATGCTGTTAAGCACATTAAAACTCCTGCTTATCATCCAGCATCAAACGGCTTGGCTGAAAGGTTAGTCCAAAATTTCTAAAAAATCTTTAGCCAAAAGCAAATTTGTGGGTGGCATGACATTACAACATTGTATTGCCAACTTCTTGTACAGCTACAGAAACATGCCACACACCACAACTAAGAAAACACCGGCCGAACTGTTTTTACACAGGCACGTTCGCACAGGGCTTTCACTGGTAAAACCTGATGCAGTTTGAGTAAGCAGTGTTCCAACCCAGGCTGCAGGGAAGAAAAAGCTGAGATCCTTTTCTGTGGGTCAGGCCGTATTGGTGAGAAACTACAGGGGAGGAGGGAAGTGGTTGGATGGTGTGATAACTGATGTTTTGGGTCCTGTAACATATTTGGTGTCTTTGAGTGGGAAAAATGTAAAAAGACATGTGAACCAGATGCTCGATGCAAAGAGGAAATATGGACAGCCAAAACAAATGATGAATGAAACTGAAGAACACTGGGATTACCACTATGATCCTGGAGATGATTTGGGACATACTGATACTACTCCTGTGAGTGAGTAGTTTTCTGAGGAAAACCAGGGATCAGTTGATACTGACCAAGCTCTAGCAGCTACTGCAAATTCCTGCCTTAGAGAGCGGCCTAAAAAAAAAGTATGTCCTCCTGAGCGTTTGGACTTGTAAGGAGTTGATTTTTTTAAACAACATATTGTTTAACGACTTTTAAAATTAAACAAAACGAGATGTTGTATCTAAGGACACATCAATGTTTCTTGTTTCATGTCAAACTGTCAATGAGTATTTTTTTTTCTGTTCTGCTGTCGCAATGGTAATAAGTTCATAACATTGTAGTTGAGTTGAGGTTAAAGAAGATGACAAACAAAGATGAAAAACAAGTTCACTCTTGAGCTACAGGGGAGGAGCTGTGGTGTCTGGGAATATTAAATGCTCTGATGTGTTTATATTCGGGTCCAGTGGCACCGTCATTCCTATAAAGGGCATGAGAGGCCCAGGGAGGACTGTTCTAGAAGAGACAAATGCTTACCCAAGTGGTTGTGTACTGCTCTTGTTCTAAATAAAGAAGCTGAAGAGCCAACTCGATGTTGTTTTTTCATCTCAGGAGCATTCCTAACATTTAAATCTGGACACTACAGTCATCACACACTGGTGAAATTCATCTCCGCAATTGACCCTTCCCCGTGGGGAGCGGTGAACTCTGGAAAACTGTTTGGTGGTTTAACCCCCCAATCCAACCCTTTAAAGCTCAGTGTCAAGCAGGGAGGCATTGGGTCCCATTGTTAAGGTCTTTGGTATGACCCGACCGGGATTTGAACCCTAATCTCCCAGTCTCAGGGCGGACATTTTGGCACTGGGACTAGGACTGGCATAACCAAAAGCTCATTCACCACACCTTGTCACCATAACTGATTTCAACAAGTCAACATTACAGGACACTTAAGGTTGGTTTCAACTAGTGTTTGTTGTGTTAAAAGAAGCTATTTATTATTAAGCCTATTACTTCTATTTGATCTATAAACCGTGAGATGTTCTGATGGTGTAATCAGACAAATCAGTAAGAACTGGGATAAGTTTGCAGTTACAAGATTTTTTCTCTTAAAATATTTATTCATATCACATCCCATAAACTGTAATTAGCAAATAAAAGTCCTGATTTAACGAAATGTTCATAATAAAGATGGAATTATCATATAACCATGTTGCAAAGCTAAACATTTCCTCCCATTCATTAATCCTTTCATCCATCTGACAGCCAGACCCTTCCTGTTGCTAGTTTCTAACAATCTTTAGTTACAAAAGAAAGGAAAGTTTCATGAATAGCATCCACGTGTGACTCTTCTTTAATAGATGACATTTTCTTGAAAAATAAAAACTGTAAAATGCTTTGCATGGACCTGAGAAATCAGCATGCTGCCAGATTCAGTCCCACGTCTGCACATTTCTGGATGAGAAAAGGGCAAAAGAGTGAGTGTGTTTAAAGGTCAAGCATTAATGGTAACACTTCCTCAGCCGCTCAGTAATCAGCTGTACCTCTCACCAAGCAGAGTTAGGGTTAAAGGTTACACAACGTGCAGAAATGATGTAGGCAACACTTTGATTGCTGACGGTGTGCTAGACCAGTTATACAAATGAAGAACCTATTTCAGTGCCTGACGCATATCACAGCTGTCAACATCCTTTACCACCAATACAAGTTTGTTATCATGTAACAGCTTGGGAGAGACGCCAATTACCGTTCCAAGGGGGTGACTCACATTTAACTGTGTCTCTCAAGTGTAGGTAGTAGTTAGTAGGAAGATGAAACAAACCACCCAACATCCGCCTACTTTCCTTTAGTCTATTCAACCATATTTTAAGACAAGGACCTAGGAGCAGTCATTCATCCCCCTGTCAGTGTTTTGGGTTAGGGTTAGGATTAGGGGATGACTGCTGATGTTTCTCTCTTTGACAAATTGCTTGCAAAAAAAAAATTAGGTCTTCCAGGCCAGCAGCGCCTTCATTCTCAATTTCCCCCGAACCTGCCTACCCATTAGTGATGAGCTGGCGCTTGTCAGTAGAAGAAGGCAAGCAGCAAAAAGACCCACCATCCTGTATTAGGTCACACAATATGTAACGGCATTACGTGACAAAAGAGTTGAACAGTGCCAGATTGAGTGGTTGAAGAGAGGCAGCAAACAGCAGTGGGAAAGCGGTGTCTCAGATGAAGTTATGGAAATGAATAAATCAGTGCTGACAGATCGCAATTAGGAGAGCGGTCCTTGCCTAAAGTCACTGGTCAGTAACCCAAGTGTTCTCAAAGTCTGTTGTGCAGTAGAAGGTCTTTGTATCTGAGCAGATACTAAAGATTAGATCTAAATAGGCTGGTATATTTCTTCCAATTCCCAAAGTTTTTCTAATTACAGTGTTACTTTGACTCCTCTAAAAAGGGCGGATTCAGCAGGGCTGTAACTCTAAAAAGGGCGGATTCAGCAGGGCTGTAAACAGACATCCATTATGGTCAGTTCAGTCATTCAGGGAGTGGAGCCATGTTTCTCAATCATTGGTCCATTAAAAAGCCTAGCATTACTGAAGGTAATGCATATTGTCTGGTACTATTCAGAATTTTTTTTGTTTTTTTTTTTGTTTGTTTAGTTTAGAGCTCACCATATTTTTGGAAATCATGGGGTTGCATTTATTTTGACCAAATAACATACGATATCTTGCAATATTGCAAGATCTTGTACATATCTTTGCTAAATACATGTAAAATTGACTGATACTTTGTCAACAATTCAGAAAAATACAAAACTCCAAACAGGCAAGGCAAAAATATCATTGGCCACCTTTCACATTTTGTGGCAATTACCTGAAATCTAATTACAACTGAATTCAATCCAGTTAGGTTCAGAATCTAATCTAGCTACATGGATTGATTTTCAATTCAATTGTAATGTAATACAATGAAGTTCAATCTAGAGCTGCAACAAACGATTAATTGGATAATCGATGAATCGGATGGGGTCTCGACACGATTAATCGATTAATCGGATTACATAGGGACATTTTTAAAAACTGCTAGGGAAACGTTATTTCTCTCCTTCCTTCACTTTATTAAACACAACATTATTAGAAAACAGTTCAATAGCAGAAAAACAACATGCCATCACCTAAATTGTCTTATAAGGTGTATAGACAGAGACCCTAAGCTACACCTATCTGTGACCTAAAATGCTTGGTCCAAGTTAAACAGCTTAAAGAGCAAGTCAACCCCTACCAGAGTTTAACTCCACTCCCACTTCATGTTTGAAAAATGCAACACATGCTGTTGCCTGGCAGACCGAGAGGGCGGAGCCGCTAACAAATACACACACACTCAGGCTGTGTCTCAATTCAGGGTCTGCATCCTACCTCGGCCGGATTCGTCGGCCGGTTACGTCACAGCGCCGCGACTCGGCCTGTCCCAATTCGAAGACTCCTTCAAATGCGGTCGACGAATGCGGCCTTCTTTTCGCCTGAATGAAGGATGGGTCGGGTGTATCCTTCAATAGGTAGCATTTCCCAAGATGCCTTGCGGGCCGGCCGGCAGAAAAACTTAAAAACAATGGCGGACAGTGAAGCGGGAGCTGTCGGAGAGGATTGCGCATATAAATGTAAGTATAAACTTGAAAACTGTCAGTTTAAGGACTTTTTGTGATACATGAACGTTATTTTAGTTAGAAATGTTACAGTAAAAGTGCTTGTATTGCGGTCTCGGCTCGTATGTTCGGCCGCGCTCGGTGTCGTACTTCTCCCACTACGTTTCCCCCTGATTTTAATAGAAGTTTGTATTTTAGGACCAAAAGAGAAAACCAGGGAATTTATTAAGCTTAGGGCGGAGATGGACCACATGATCACCGGAGCAAAGTATTCGGCGGCTGTGGCATGGAGGTACAACAACATCTCATATTTTAAAAACTCGTTTGAGTATATTTTTTTCTGCGAAAACATGAAAGGAATAACCCGTTGTCCTCTTTTCTCTTCCTGTTTCTTTTCTTACATGTTTGTTAAGACTATTCTGGAGAAAATGGGCATCCAGGGGAAGGTGCCAGCGATGAGCTTCTGGAGCTGATCTGGGAGGACATGAGGCTGCAGAGCAGCAGAGAGCACAGGAGAGAAGGAAGAACTTTGACAGCTTTTTACTTTGCTAGAAAAAAATGGTTAATGAAGATTAAACATGTACATGTAAAAGAAATATCTAAATAAAATCAGTTCTGCATTAAACTCTTGAATTTTATTTTTGTTTACAAATGAGAATTGTTTACTAGAGGGTATCCGCTGGGTCTTGAAAAGTCTTAAAAGGTGATAAATCGGTTTTGGTCAAATTAAGACCCTTAGAAAGTATTAAAAACTATTATCACATCTTTGCTCAGGCTCAGCTAGTCTAAAGTATTTTCTCTGAATTAGCTCTCCAACAGTCAAGGAAATGATTAACCCCCAGAGACCCACGGTTGTAGTATCACAACATCAGATTTAAGTCTACAAAAATAAACCTTCCCCATTTTTTTTCTTTTTAAAACCACATTTACATTGCTAATAGGTCCTATTCAGTTCTGCAACACTATTGGCTGTTAAAATGTGTAAATAGGCCCGTTTATCTGGCCTCCTAGAACAACATGTGAAAGGTTAAAAATATTTTGCAGTTGTTTTCTAAATTTGGGTTTCTGGGGGTTAAAAAGCTAAATAAAACGTCGAGCTCCATCGTTTAAGGTTCCTTCTGCCCAGCGGTTCCACGGTTGCTAGGCGACGGAACGTTCGCCGAGGGAGTTCATGAAGGCTAGGCCTGTCCAAATTCACAGCCGTTAACATCCGGTCTACCCGGCCGACGGAGGACGCAGCCCACGTCGGCCGGGTGGGCTGGGTCCTTCGAAGGATGCAGACCCTGAATTGAGACACAGCCACAGGCTCACGAACGCATTGTGACATCATAATGTACCAGTTTACATCATAGCATACCTCTTAGCCAATAGCGGTGGCAGATTTAAATTAAAATACAGTGCAGAGTTTTTACCTGACAACGACACAACACTGCCAGTTTTAGGCAGAATATTTAAATTTTAACTAAGATGCACTAAAGTGCCAAATTATTGACGACACGTGTTTGCAGCACGATTAGATACTCGTTTATTTAGTTTATCAGCAAAAAAAATGTTTATTTGGGGGTGACTTGCTCTTTAAGGGCAATTCTCATCTGTTTTGATGATCTCATCTGTAGACATTTATTATAATTGGGGATGTCAAACAACTAATTTTTAAATGTAATTAAACATAGGCTGTGAATTAATCAAAATTAATCACCATTTCCAAAAATGACTGAAAAAGTACCAAATAAAACAAAAGTAAATGAATGCCATCCTCCTTGCGATGATGCCCTGGGCAACTGCCATAAAGTCACATCAAGAAATGCTGCTGATCATTCCAATGATCCCAAATAGACTCACATTAGGCCACATGAAAGCAACTGAACCCAAAAATATATTAACCAGTATATAACTGCACTCACACAACATGCCTGCTGCAACAGTTAGGACTCCTCCCTCCCTTTTAAAAGCGTTTTCGCTTCTGAGGACATTGTGGTTGTAAAGCCACATGCTAGTGGTCTGGCCCCGGTGTGATCAACCAGTTTCTGCGGGAATGTGACGGCGGAACCGGTTCGCAGCGGCGAGAGTCCCCCCCCCCCCCCCACCCCCCCCCCCCCCACCCCCCGCCTATCTAATAGCGTCGCGCTTACGATTTTATAGACTTTTTTTAACTAGCTTAGGGCATGTCTAGCCTGTGTAATTATCCGGGGCTTGGGTTTTTAACTTACCCGGACACCGAGCTCTCTCCTTCCTCGCTGATGATTTCAACATGCTTGCGTTTAAGACGCTGCATCATCACTGCAGCACTCCCGTGCCATGCTAAGTCTGACCTACAAACATTGCAGGTAACGAATGTCTTCGCCTGATTTAACTGAAAATGCTCCCAAACTTTAGAAGTTTTTACTTTTTTGGGGTCTCGCTGCTTCTGCCATGTTCCTCTTTCCAAACACCTGCCGGCTCTGCGGTCTGCGCGCAACGGCGGGCGGGAGGGGAGGGGGCTTTTGGAAGAGTTGTGCAACACAACGAATCGATGACGCAATTCGTTGCCAACGCTTTTAGTAATCGAATTTCATCGAATTTATCGATTCGTTGTTCAATCAATTATAAAATGCCAATAAAGTCATATTGTATGTCCAAACTCCCATTGGATAGGAAACATCTCCAGCACCATTAGGCAAATTTGGACAGATGACATACATCCCAAGTTGTTTGCAGGACACCACCTGCGACTGTGGCTGAAGGATGACATTTGGCTAAACACCGTTGGTCAAACGAGGCCAGACTGACATAACAAAGTGTCATCAGCACAAACATGAATAACAGTCTTACTGCACATATGATCATCAATGGCCTGTGTCATCCGCTCTGTGCTGTCTCTAATGCCAGGTTATCAAGGTTTGCTTTTCAGCAAGTGTTTGGCAAAGTTTGAAAAATCTGTACAAAAGTGAAAAGGTTGGGCCCTCTTCCAAACGTCTGAGAGTCAGCCTGAGGTCCTTGCTGCTGGGGTTCTGCTGGAGGAATGATAAGACCACCCTTGCAGGCTCAGCTTTGGCTAAAAGGGATTGACAAGCTAATGGTTTCTGTTCAGCAATGAGATGAGCTTCCAAGTCTGGTAGCTTCAACTTCAAATCTGCTAAAAGTCTACAGATATTTAATGTCACTTTTAGAAGGTGAAGGAGTCAACATGTGACTTCTCCCCCTGAGCCTGAGATCAGTGGACTCAGTGGTCTCCTTTAAAAAGCAGCTAAAAACTCACTTGTTCAGGCTGGCTTTTGTGTGATCTTCATCACCCTCTCCTTGTTCTGCTCTCCCCACCTATTCCACCTTCCCTCTTTCATATTCACTCTCTCTCTTTCTTTACATTTTTAATCACAATTGTCTATTTTTTGCTCATTTTAAATATATTTTTAATAATTTTCTAAATTATTTTTTATATTTTTACATTTTTTATTATTGTGAAGCGCCTCGTGATTTTTTATCTTGAGACGCTCTAGAAAAGATATTTACTTCTTCTTCTTCTACTTATGACACTAATGAGCACAGGCCGAGCAGGGAGAGGCTCTAAAGCTAGCTGACCTCAGACATATTGATAAAAGCAAGAAGTGTTAAAACGTGAGAAGAAAAGATGCACAAATGAGGTGTGGGAGCAGAAATGTGTGAATGAAAGTGTAAAATGAGTCGGGGGGGGGATCAAACAATTACAATGTAACATGTAAGAGTTCTGACAGAGGAGATAATTGTTTTGTAGGTCATAAAAAATCTATCTTTATTTTCTTCTTGATTAAACCAGATTTATGAAATTCCCTAAAAAAATGCCATATATATGTATATATATATATATATATATATATATATATATATATATATATATATATATACATACACACACACACACACACACACGTTAAGGGTCACGTTAGGCTGAAATTTACCATTTGTGATCGGCTGCATCAATCAAATATACACACACGTCTGTATAGACACACACACACACACACACACACACACACACACACACATGTTCCTAGGCAGGCAGGGGTGTGGTATGAAACAATGTGCCACTCTGGACACAGAAGAGCAGAGAACCACTAGTGCACAGTCCATTAAGTCATAGGCAGTGAGATTAAACCCCTTGATGAGAAAAGGATATAAAAAAACTGATGGGAAAAATAGTCAATCCATGAAAGGAGAGTGGGAGTGTGAAAGGCCAGAAGTGGACCTGATGCATCTGACTACAGGAGAAGTTGATTATTTGAAGTTCATTAACCTCCGACACCCTCTGAGAACAGACTATCATACACATTCAGTTTTTTTTCTCCAGCTTACTTCATTTGAGCTATGTTCATCCCTCTGATTGCTGCTACGAACTTGAAAAAGCATGCTCAGAGGTTTTAAGCGAGAATGTTCGACACAGAGAGAGACAAGACAGAAAGAGCAATCAAATCTCAAACTAAATTCAAAAATACCAACGAGGACAAATGACGACACTGCGTGAGCTTCTTACTTCCTTACTAAAGGCAAAGATGGAAACAAGTTTGTACAAAGGAGGTCATCCTTGGTTTCTGCCTCAGAGTGAGACACAGGCTAGCATTCAACACAGCAAGGAGGAGGCAACCAGGCAGTCTCAGAGCACCAGGTGATTGCCTCTGTATTGCAGTAATGTTTTGAGAGTAAAAAGGGAATTCAGCAAACTACTTTTACTTTATTTTCACCCACCTTAGCCCCTTCAGAGTACATCAAAAGATAGAAGTCTATTAAATCTGAGGAAGGAACTAACAGAAAAGCCAGACCACCTGTTCTAGCCATACAAGAACAGTCCCAGAGCTGAGGTTGCTGCCTGATGTTGCACCATACAGCGCCATCTAGTGTTGCTGTTTAAGCCACAGCACACTGACTAATATGATTTCTAATGCATGCACACAAAATAAAAAGAATGCAGCTAAACTGTTCTGTGATATTAAACACATCATTACATCATGGTCGCATTGGTCTGTAAGATTTTTCTTCAGGGGTATCATCCTGTAAGAAACGTTACTAACTGGCATAATAAACTCTACAAAATGTGAATGTTTTATTTTGTCAAGTGCCTTGAGATCACTCTTATTGTGATTTGTCTCTGTATAAATAAACTAAAGTGAATTGAATTGAATATTTTTTGTTTAGTAATTAAATACATACATGCATACTTTCCAGTTGAGGTGGCTCGGGCATCTGGTCAGGATGCCTCCTGGACGCCTCCCTGGTGAGGGTTTCCGGGCACGTCCAACCGGGAGGAGACCTAAAGGTAGACCCAGGACACGTTGGAGGGACTATGTCTCTCACCTGGCCAGGGAAGCATTGGGATTCCCCCAGAGGAGCTGGCCCAAGTGGCTGGGGAGAGGGATGTCTGGGCCTCTCGCCTTAGGCTACTGCCCCCGCGACCCGACTCCAGATAAGCGGATGAAAATAAATGGATGGATGGATGGATGGATGGATGGATGGACATGCATACTTTAACTGACATATTTTGCCCATTCATTTGTGGCATTTTCGTCAGTACATGAATCTATAAATGAAAACATAGGTCTTAAAAATGGATGTTTCTCTCTCTGAAAAAGTAAAAACTGTACAAAAAATCAAATAAAATAAATAAGTCCAAGGCTTTTCAAGAATATCCCCACATTTATCACGAAAGATACTGTATCTTTGGGCTAGTCAATAACAGATGTGGTTAAAAGATTAAAAATCTTGAAAGAAGCTTTGGTTTCTTCTTGTTTTAGAACCATCAGAGTTCTTATGAAAGGTTTTGAAGACAATCCAACATGAACATTTGTCCTTGTTCCAGTCAAGTGGTCTGAAATCACATTGATGGCCTACAGCTGACTTCCTTATAAGAACACCTACACACAGGGGCGTGATGCTTTTGAAGTACCAGCTGAGACGGTAGAGGAGCGTTTCGCTCTTCCTGGTTGCCAAAATCACAGATCATGGATCTACTGCCATCAGACGAACACGGCATATGGGAGTCATTTAGAAGAAGCAGCTGGTGGCTGTTTTTCTTTCTTCAAGAGGAAGAGGATATACAGTAAGATCCTCACCAGTTATAAACAGTACACAACATCTGGATTAACACTGCACAACAACCACAAACACATATCAGAACAAAAAATAAATGAGAGGCACCCACAGCGAGTTCCCACATTTAAATGTGAAATACTGTCCATGTGCTAAAAATCTCTCACCTCATCAAACATTCATGGCAGGAAAAGAGAATGTGGGTGAGTAGGGAGTGGGCGCAGATCTTTTTTTGTCACTCTCAGCTGCTGTTCTGGGATAAGGTTGATGGAAACTGCTGGTTCGATCAGGTTGAACGGAGTTTCTCAACCTGAGTAAACTTTTTTTTAAATACAGACTAGAATTTCACAGATAGGGTGAGCTTTTCTGATGCAAAATTAATATTTAGGTTATCCCAAATATCTTTAGATAGATAGATAGATAGATAGATACCTAGGTAGGTAGGTAGGTAGGTAGGTAGGTAGGTAGGTAGGTAGGTAGGTAGGTAGGTAGGTAGGTAGGTAGGTAGGTAGGTAGGTAGGTAGGTAGGTAGGTAGGTAGGTAGGTAGGTAGGTAGGTAGGTAGGTAGGTAGGTAGGTAGGTAGGTAGGTAGGTAGGTAGGTAGGTAGGTAGGTAGGTAGGTAGGTAGGTAGGTAGGTAGGTAGGTAGGTAGGTAGGTAGGTAGGTAGGTAGGTAGGTAGGTAGGTAGGTAGGTAGGTAGGTAGGTAGGTAGGTAGGTAGGTAGGTAGGTAGGTAGGTAGGTAGGTAGGTAGGTAGGTAGGTAGGTAGGTAGGTAGGTAGGTAGGTAGGTAGGTAGGTAGGTAGGTAGGTAGGTAGGTAGGTAGGTAGGTAGGTAGGTAGGTAGGTAGGTAGGTAGGTAGGTAGGTAGGTAGGTAGGTAGGTAGGTAGGTAGGTAGGTAGGTAGGTAGGTAGGTAGGTAGGTAGGTAGGTAGGTAGGTAGGTAGGTAGGTAGGTAGGTAGGTAGGTAGGTAGGTAGGTAGGTAGGTAGGTAGGTAGGTAGGTAGGTAGGTAGGTAGGTAGGTAGGTAGGTAGGTAGGTAGGTAGGTAGGTAGGTAGGTAGGTAGGTAGGTAGGTAGGTAGGTAGGTAGGTAGGTAGGTAGGTAGGTAGGTAGGTAGGTAGGTAGGTAGGTAGGTAGGTAGGTAGGTAGGTAGGTAGGTAGGTAGGTAGGTAGGTAGGTAGGTAGGTAGGTAGGTAGGTAGGTAGGTAGGTAGGTAGGTAGGTAGGTAGGTAGGTAGGTAGGTAGGTAGGTAGGTAGGTAGGTAGGTAGGTAGGTAGGTAGGTAGGTAGGTAGGTAGGTAGGTAGGTAGGTAGGTAGGTAGGTAGGTAGGTAGGTAGGTAGGTAGGTAGGTAGGTAGGTAGGTAGGTAGGTAGGTAGGTAGGTAGGTAGGTAGGTAGGTAGGTAGGTAGGTAGGTAGGTAGGTAGGTAGGTAGGTAGGTAGGTAGGTAGGTAGGTAGGTAGGTAGGTAGGTAGGTAGGTAGGTAGGTAGGTAGGTAGGTAGGTAGGTAGGTAGGTAGGTAGGTAGGTAGGTAGGTAGGTAGGTAGGTAGGTAGGTAGGTAGGTAGGTAGGTAGGTAGGTAGGTAGGTAGGTAGGTAGGTAGGTAGGTAGGTAGGTAGGTAGGTAGGTAGGTAGGTAGGTAGGTAGGTAGGTAGGTAGGTAGGTAGGTAGGTAGGTAGGTAGGTAGGTAGGTAGGTAGGTAGGTAGGTAGGTAGGTAGGTAGGTAGGTAGGTAGGTAGGTAGGTAGGTAGGTAGGTAGGTAGGTAGGTAGGTAGGTAGGTAGGTAGGTAGGTAGGTAGGTAGGTAGGTAGGTAGGTAGGTAGGTAGGTAGGTAGGTAGGTAGGTAGGTAGGTAGGTAGGTAGGTAGGTAGGTAGGTAGGTAGGTAGGTAGGTAGGTAGGTAGGTAGGTAGGTAGGTAGGTAGGTAGGTAGGTAGGTAGGTAGGTAGGTAGGTAGGTAGGTAGGTAGGTAGGTAGGTAGGTAGGTAGGTAGGTAGGTAGGTAGGTAGGTAGGTAGGTAGGTAGGTAGGTAGGTAGGTAGGTAGGTAGGTAGGTAGGTAGGTAGGTAGGTAGGTAGGTAGGTAGGTAGGTAGGTAGGTAGGTAGGTAGGTAGGTAGGTAGGTAGGTAGGTAGGTAGGTAGGTAGGTAGGTAGGTAGGTAGGTAGGTAGGTAGGTAGGTAGGTAGGTAGGTAGGTAGGTAGGTAGGTAGGTAGGTAGGTAGGTAGGTAGGTAGGTAGGTAGGTAGGTAGGTAGGTAGGTAGGTAGGTAGGTAGGTAGGTAGGTAGGTAGGTAGGTAGGTAGGTAGGTAGGTAGGTAGGTAGGTAGGTAGGTAGGTAGGTAGGTAGGTAGGTAGGTAGGTAGGTAGGTAGGTAGGTAGGTAGGTAGGTAGGTAGGTAGGTAGGTAGGTAGGTAGGTAGGTAGGTAGGTAGGTAGGTAGGTAGGTAGGTAGGTAGGTAGGTAGGTAGGTAGGTAGGTAGGTAGGTAGGTAGGTAGGTAGGTAGGTAGGTAGGTAGGTAGGTAGGTAGGTAGGTAGGTAGGTAGGTAGGTAGGTAGGTAGGTAGGTAGGTAGGTAGGTAGGTAGGTAGGTAGGTAGGTAGGTAGGTAGGTAGGTAGGTAGGTAGGTAGGTAGGTAGGTAGGTAGGTAGGTAGGTAGGTAGGTAGGTAGGTAGGTAGGTAGGTAGGTAGGTAGGTAGGTAGGTAGGTAGGTAGGTAGGTAGGTAGGTAGGTAGGTAGGTAGGTAGGTAGGTAGATAGATAGATAGATAGATAGATAGATAGATAGGTCGGTGGGTAGGTAGGTAGAGTGGAAATTATTGTCTTCCTTTAACTAAACTGGACTGAGTCTTTGATATTCACTCATCTTCAAACATTTAAAGATCATCAGAATCGATCTAAGGTCCCGTAATTATCATAATCAAAACAAACCAGTAATTAAAAACATTTACAGCTTCATTATTCAACTTCTCTTCACTAAATGTTTGATTTTTCTCATCCATCTATATGTGTTCAGTTGCTTTTATACTTTAATTATGGAGTTACGTAGCAACAGGTTCAATGAATACTCTCCTATCTGTTATAAAACTGTCCTTTAGATTCCCCGTCAAGTGGTTTCCATGGTAATAAAAGAGTGAATCAGTGCATTAATGCAAATGGACCGGTTCATCCCGGTGACACTGTGACTGGTTGTTTATCTGCTGCTTTTAATTGGTGTTCAGTTGACCCCTGCTTGTAAACACAGACAAAAACGGCCAAAACAAGCGTAGCATGTGGGCTCGCCCACACACATTATTACCATGGTGTGTGTGTGTGTGTGTGTGTGTGTGTGCGTGTGTGTGTGTGTGTGTGTGTGTGTGTGTGTGTGTGTGTGTGTGTGTGTGTGTGTGTGTGTGTGTGTGTGTGTGTGTGTGTGTGTGTGATAGTTTGTCCTGTGTGTGTCTGTGTTGCCCTGCGATGGACTGGCTCTCTGTCCAGGGTGTACCCCGCCTGATTGCCCACTGGCCGCTGGAGATGGGCATCCCCCCCCACCACCACCACCACCCCCACCCTACGTGGACAAGGCGGGTTCAGACAATGGATTGGGTGCTGAAAATATTATCCATGGGTACGTCCCGCCATCCTTGACAGGTGCTTGTTATAAATCTGATTAAATTTAGACAAACAAAATCAAGAAGTGAAAATAACCTCAGATTAGAGAGCCAGATATGGAGCTGATCATTTATCCAACCTGTATGTTTATGAGAATCTCATGTTACTAGCAGTGATGCAGCCAATATGAGTCATGTGGTAAAACTGATTAAATCTGGGTTCTGAAAAATGTTGTCCCCAAAACTGCTAAATGAATTTGGTCTTTTTCTCGTAGAGACAATAAACGTTCAAACTGGTGTTCAGAGTTTTCCAGTGCTGGTGATGATTTTGAATGCTCGACAGACTTCTCCATTTCACAGAGAAGACACTTATGGCTGGTCTTGAGTTTATCAATAGTCTGATTCCAGGCCAGGATCTGGGTTTAGGATTAACTCGCTGCATAATGGATGTGTGCCTCTTACCATAGTCTCTCGGCCTATTGGAGCAGAGAAGACGTACTCCAGCTGAAAGACGATTGCCAAAGCCTGATTATTGGCCAATCTGAGTTCCAAGCTGCTGCGAAGGCCCAGCGTCTGAGGAGGGGATGATGCTGCCACTCTAAAGAGAAAGCAGAGAGACAAAGGTGTGACAAATGTGAGGTCAGCACTCCTTTTGGGAACGTGAAAAGTTCCACTATTGCTTAATCTGTGTTTTCTAATAAAAGGAGGAACAAAATCAATGAGTTTGACGATTTCCTGGCAGGCTCAGTCGTTCTGTGTGAGGAATGGAATGGCTCTACTGGTATTCATCATTCGCCGTTTGCATACACCATAGGCGAGAGCACACTGTGGAGCGCCAGCGTGTCTCGAGGTGGAGCCGAGCGCCTTTTCTTTCTTCGCCTCACAAACTCTCCAGAGTCACGTTTTCCATCTTTTCTCTAAAGCATCACACAAGCGAGTCAGACTGTCGGATATCACCGACAGCACTGGCAAAAGTCAAGTGCCATAATTACTGCCTACACTGGTGTTTTCAAACCAAACCGTGTTTAAAACAACACTTTCCACCTCAAAAGGAAGAAGGAAACATTTGTCACGATGATGATGATGATGATGATGGTGATCACAGTCATATACCACAGTAATCAGGCACAGATTGTTGCCCATGTGTTTGTTGTCTATCGTGCTTTTATGTGGTAGAAAGAAACCCATATTCTCATCCACATAATCATCCCTTCCCGAAGCTCTGATGAGAAGCAGCAAGCACAACATTTTGATTTGGGATGTGTGAATTTCATAGGGGGGTGTTTTCTACTGTTGTTTACCTTTTGATGGATTTACTTGATTCATACCACACAATACTGTGTATTTGTATTTAAAACCCCTGCATAAAATATACCACCCAATTACCGTGATGGGGCACGGCTTGAAGAAGAGCACTCACGCTGACAGAGATGTGTGGAAAATGTCAGGAAACACACCCTTCGCATGTGGTTTCTGTTATCGTTGTCCAGTGACAGCATGTGGGTGAACAGTATTATATTTTCAACCAATTAGGGTTTTTTTGGAGACAGCTCTGTCAGCACAAGCATATTTCTTAATGCCACTCACAGTGGATTTCATTACGAAAGGACAAACTTAGAGCACAGAAGGGGATCAAAATCAGGACATTACGAAAGAAAAATTGGAAATATACCCTTTTCACCTTCCACGTCTCAACAATATATATTTGTAACAGCAGCCAATGTGGCCCGAAACAGAGCTTGTATGACAAGTATTGCTGTAATCTCGTATAGTGGCTCTGTGGGGAATATATTTGAGGAGAGGTGAATGCGTTAGCATCACCCACGCTGAGAAAATACCAAAGTGAAAGACACAATCCACCTGCACAATGTCTCTGATAGTGATATTCTCCTTAAAGGCTCCCCCGTACACCCACACAACTCATTAACAGGAACTGCTGGCTGCTGTTTACGAGAGGCGGTCAGAGGTTTGCTCTGTCACAACGGTGGCTACAGAGGAATCTCGGTGACAGCTAGAGTACTCAGCGAACTGTAAGCTGTACCAGACAAATTATCTCAAAGCATGCGGCTTTCCCTTTTTTTTCTCCCCCAGTCAGTACTGGGTAATTCATAAATCAGAGGAAGTGAATATGTGGGCCACTTTGGATAATTTCATTGTCGGAATTTTAGCTATAGTAAAGATTGCATTATGCATGATGGGACAGAGGTGAGATGTTTCTCTCTTGCTCCATTTCCAGGGCAGACCGAAGGCCTTACATAGGCCATAGCCACTTTGACTAGGTCACTCACTGGTGCTCTCAGTAAAACTCAAGGGAAACCGCAGGTGCAGTTACATCTCTTCAGTTGTACAGCTGCGGCCCAAGAAATCCAAAGCCTTAATCCAGGTAAATTCAGTTTACTTCTATAACGCCAAATCACACCAAGAGTCGTCTCAAGGCACTTCACAAAGTAAACCTTCCAACTGAAACTACTTATCAGTGAGTTCTGTTCATTGAACCAATTAGTAAAACATGTTCTATGCAAGAAACCCCAGCAGATTGCATCTAGCCACTGACTTTACATCAATCCCCATTCTAAACAAGCATGTAGCGACGGTGGAGAGGAAAACTCCCCTTTAACAAGAAGTAACCTCCAACAGAGCCTAACTCAGTACGAGCAGCCATCTGTCACAACCCACTAGGGTTTTGAGAAGAACAGTAGGGTACAATAATTAACTTTGGCCTATTTTTAATCCTTTTCTTATGCCAGTAGGATCAACGAACAGCGTCTCAGCCCTCTCCACTCCTTGTGCCGCATTTGCAACTTGAACTGGACCGGTAACCTGAAGTCTCTCAAAGTCATGTATCTCTCGAGAAGCCCTAACGCTTCGTGGCAATCCAAGTTTCCACCACAGAACAGACAAGCTAGAGATGGTTAAGAGTTTATTGTTTCATGTTCATCATGGCAGAGCTTCTGAAAAACATAGAAAACCTTTATCCAATGCAACCAAACAGAGAAAGGGAACATCGACTGATGGGTCAAACAAGAATCAACATCGGGAAAGCGTTTTCTGAATGATGAGAGCTAAGAGACAAAGAAGTAAATGGTAAATGGCCTGTATTTGATATAGCGCCTTCTAGAGTCCTGGAACCCCCCAAGGCGCTTTACAACACAATCAGTCATTCACCCATTCACACACACATTCACACACTGGTGGGGATGAGCTACAATGTAACCACAGCTGCCCTGGGGTGCACTGACAGAGGCGAGGCTGCCGAGCACTGGCGCCACCGGTCCCTCCGACCACCACCAGCAGGCAACGTGGGTTAAGTGTCTTGCCCAAGGACACAACGACAGCGACAGACTGAGCGGGACTCGAACCTGCAACCTTCTGATTACGGGGCGAGCACTTAACTCCTGTGCCACCGTCGCCCCAAGTATTCTAAGTGGATGTGGACCTTGCGATTATGGTATTACGCTTGTAAGAATGACTTTAATATGTGGTCAGCTACTTTGAAACATGGGGGAACACCTAGGAGGGAGGGGGAAAACATGACTGACAGTGATTTAAAACAGACATTAGATGGTGTTAAAGCTAGCCAAAACTGCCAAATGTCCCTTTAAAGGACATTTACGTTGTTTTCAGAGTGTTTGTGTATGTACAAGATAGATAGATTTGTGAATGGCCCTTACACAAGAAACAGTATGTCTGACAGGACCAGTGAGATAATGGCTAAAGTGTATTGTCAGATCCATTTGCACAAGCTATTTTTAGCTGATTAACAAGGGCTAACAAAAACATGGACTCACCAAAAAGAAAGCTATTTGCACGTGTAAAAAATAAATAATAAAAAGTGTCATTCTAACCAAAATAGGTTTGAAAGATCAAGCTCAACATTATGTTAGAAATCTTAGTGTCCCATGTGCTCCCAACTGAAGACGTTGAATGAAGAGGTTTGATGTATGAGATTTACAGCATTAATGGGAAATGGCCACTTTTGTCTAAGTCTATTTGCTGTCAGACAAAATAATAGATGCATTATGAAAAGAGCACTATCTCACAGGAAAATGGACTCTTCTATGAACTATCCCCAACAGGAAGTAAAAACAACTTGTCGAACAAAAATGTTTAACAAGATGCTGCAGATCTACGGAAGTGAGAACGTTTATGGAGACGAGGACAAAAAGTACTTCATCCAGACATCTTTAATATTATAGATAAAATGGCATTAATGCAAACCAAGCTTTTTCAAAATATTCTTTCTGCTGACTTTACATTCAATCACTTGCTATCAGGAAAAAGGAACAGTGCCTGGAGAGGCTGATGAAATACCACAAAAATAAGCACTACAGAAAGTCTTTTTGCACATCTGCAGATTTTCTCTGACATCAGAATTATGCTCCCCTGCAGCTCACATCTACGGCTATACCGTAGATGCATACATGTGTTCGTCCTGCTCACCTGTCGGTGACCAGGGTGCTGCTTTTAGAAGTGCTGTCTGCTCGTGCTCTGACCCCTGAAGCAAGGGACTCCAGCACCACCACTTGGGGTTTATCAAGGAAACACCAGCCATTGTGCACACCGACATGGAGCCTCCTCTCCTGGATGATGACTGTTCTTTGGAAATCCTCAAGTCCTGGTTGTTTCTGCGAATGAGTGAGAAATAAGGTGTGGGTTATTATACCAAGAGTTGCAGCGTTCCCATTATGTTTTGACTTATTTCTCTCCTGAACATTATTATATCAAATTAACCAATTAAATGTATAAAGCTTGTCCAAATCATCCAACCTTCAGGTATTTCTAGACTCTCTGGTGGAGGTTTAATACTCATAGTGTACTACATGCTACACTTTGAAAGAGCTGTATGATGTGTTTATTGTAAATGACTTGGCTGGTACTTTAAAGGTGCAATATCTAATGACACCCTGTGGTCAAATGTGGTTACTGCAGGCCATTTTTCTAAGCAAAAAATGACTTTCTCATTCCCGTTCCATGGGTTTCATGGCTGTTGCCAGTTATGGATCAGATCCAGAAGATTCTAGATGGCAAGTGAAGACAAGTCATATTCAGTTAAGTAGGTAAATGCATAGTCATGTCTGGTGCTAGCACTCTTGGGTGTTTTGTGGTAGGGAGCATTTACTACACTTATTACAGTAATGTGTCTCCTGCATTTGCGGAAGTGTGGTCATTTGCCACGATTGACTCATTATTCATTCACTGAGATACCGAGTTGGTGGTAATTGAAAAAGTAGCTTGAGATATTTGTAGAGCTGACAATTTTCTTCTCATTCACTGTTAGCATTGTTAGCTTAACGTTAGCCTCTAGCTTGCTTCACTCGATATTAGAGTAAAACAAAATGACGCTGTGGCTTCTTAGACAAGGCAAGGCAGCTTTATTCGTATAGCACATTTCATACATGGAAGCAATTCAAAGTGCTTTCCATTAGCGAGATTAGCACAAACATTACAGCACAATTAAAATACAAAAATAAGTTTAGATCAAACTTCTTGGGGTACAAGAAATAACTTCTGGGTTGCTCATGTTTATTGGCTTTGATTCTTTAAACAACTCTGGTGCTTTTTACCTGCTGGTATTGAATTCCAGCGCTGCAGTATTAGCTCTGCACAGACTTGTCCACCTCGCATGCTCACTGACTGTAAGCAAGACTATGTCCCTCTTTATTATTTATTCAAAGGAGAAAAAGTAACAACCCCCAGCCAGCTGAGAATGAAATTTGTTTCAATGTAACCATCCTTCCAACATGATTGAGACGTTAGGCTGTTTTGTGATTATTTCACCGTAGAATTCTTACATATTGCTCCTTTAAGCCAACCTCTTGTTGGACAGGGATTGTTTCAGATACTAAAGTGCAAGAAAAAACACAAAATTTCAAAAGGAATCACACTGAATTGGCACATACAACCCCACACGTCATGTAGTTGCAAACAAACTGAGACTGCAACTTTTATGTCACATCTTAGTTTTAAAGTATCTTAATCAATTCTCATTGGACCAACGACCCCTCCCTAAATAGATGAAAATTGTTGCTCATATTTATAGAACATGTTTGAAATCTCTGCAACACACGAGCAAAGCCCTGTTAGTCACATGAATAAATTAGCAACCCTTGCAATTTTTAAAGACATTTTGGAAACTCCCTCAGGAATGCAGTTCACTCATCTTCACTAACAGCCACAGTGAGAAGCTGGCTGTACCTGTCTGCACTAGAAGGTGTTTCTGCTGAAAAAGTCTACTTAGCTAACAATTGCATTGTTACGCTCAAAACGGGCGGTGCAAAAATGTTTATCATGTATCTACATGCTGACTGACAGCTGTTCACTGTCTGACTGTAAAAGAAAAACTCCCTAACCCTAAAGTGCAAAGCCATACTAAGCTCCCCTCTCATCCCACTCCTTCCCATTTGTTTCATTTCAATCGTGTTTCTCTTCATAACATCTCCTACTCCCACTCACCCTCTCTTTCCATTGTTGCTCTCGCTCTCTGTCCCACCTTGCAGCTTAACACCTTCTCCATATCCACCCACACCTTCTCAATCAAATTAGCATATCAATTCAGACAGCATTTTTTATGTCCTTAAGCAGCAACAGCAGGAGCAGCAGCCTCAGCTTGCCTAGATACCAAACAACCCACATTCAACACTGCTTGCTGTTGTTCTCCTGTTACATCTACACACCATTCTTCCCTCTGCCTTTTTACAGCGTGCCCTCGTTTTTTTACTGTCATTTTTTATTAATTTATTGTATACATTTTCACAAACCACAGCTAACAAATGTTTTGCAATTTACTTTTGGCGATGGAAGAATATGATTTTTGTAGAAACAATTCCTTCCTTTTCTTTGTTGCTGGGAGAAAAAGATCTCCAGTGAAGCCTATACTTTAAATTCCAGTGTGCTCTCCTTACAAAAGGAGAAATTCACGTTGGCTCCAATCAAATACAATTGAATACAGTCTCAATGGTCTGTGTTGTGTGTTTTGAGATATACTGGCTCTTATTTGCCTTTAGGGAATGTTACATGGCTGCTCCAGTTGAACAGCACATGCTAAGGTAGTGATTTATGAAATGTCTAAACAGAGGAAGTCGCATTACCTGTAGTTGTCGTGTCTCTACAGTGTTTGTTTTTTTTTTTTCAAAATAACACACAAAAATGGTTTGAATTTCACATTACAATCAAATTAAGTCAGTACAGTTTTTTCCTATGTTTTCTGGTATGCATTGACACACCACTGCTTTATTTTATTTTATGCTTACGTGTTTCTAAAATCTGTGTTAAGTGGGTTCAACAAAAATCCCATTTCTCTGTAAATTGCCAGGTACAAGGACTGCATGTTAAATTAGGAAGAGAATGGTAAATGGCCTGTATTGATGGGGTGGGGATGAGCTACGATGTAGCCTTAGCTGCCTTGGGGCGCACTGACAGAGGCGAGGCCTGCCGAATACTGATGCCACCGGTCCCTCTGACCACCACCAGCAGGCAAGGCAGGACACAACAGCAGCATTATTTGGTGGGAGCCAGGATCGAACCTGCAACCTTCCGATTTAGCAGCACAAGAAGTCCCAGGAGAGGGGAAGAGTCCAAGACCCCACCTGGTATATACAGCCATACACAGACACAGTCACACACTCCCTCCCTCATGCTCACAAATACACATACAACCTAAGGGGCTCTGCACACAGGAAGCGACATCGCCTCTCCTCCATTCATTTTCAATGAGACATGCGCGACAAAGCGATAATCGCGGGTCTCCCTACTACCAAGCGAAACGCGAAAAACGTGCACATGAAATGTTGTGCTCGTGCACGTGTCGTGCACAGACAACCCAGCAACGCGATCCCAGAAAGTTGAAATATTTTCAACTTTTCATCGCTGTCGCTCGGACAAGGACCAATCAACAGAGGTTTCATTCACTGACCAATGAGCGGACAGGATGCTCCGCACATCTCCGAGGAAACATGAAGGAGAAGTTGATTATTATTATGTTTTATACAGTAAAATCAGAAGTAAGATTTCACATAACTCTAGCAGCACCTTGTGAAACATCATATCTACCACTTTTTTTAACTCTGAACCGCTTAAATAACCTTAATTACCTCCAACCTGACACAGCCAAACAAAACAACGGAAGTTTCGATTTCGCCATGGAACAGAACGCGTAGACGGCTTTGCCACTGGCCGCTGCCGCGGGTCGCCTCCTGTGTGTCGGGTAATAAAAGCGACAGCAACAAATTTCGCTGATCGCGGTCGTTTGTCCGGGCCCGTGTGCAGAGCCCTTAAGACTTACAAAAATGAACGCTAGACACCCACTCACTCTCCTCATACACACCCTATTCACTCTGGTCCCGGTACTGCTGCACAAGGGGTGCAACCATCACCGGTTCCCAGAGTTCGCCCCTTTCTGCCTTCTGATTACTGGACAACCCGCACTACCTCCTGAAACTGCTCAGGAGACAATAAACAAAAACAAGATGGCTGTTGGGAAAAACTGGGAACTTTAAGAGGCTCTGAAAGTCTGGCTTCTTTGAGGTAACACTTAGAGAAATAAGGAGTCATTTAAGAGATATAAATACACAATATTACATCCATCCATTCGTCCATCCATCACTTTTCCACAGTTGTGACTATGAAGGTAACTGGTCCAGGTGAAAAACCCAGACATCCTTTCCCCAGGAACACCCTCCAGATTCACCTGGGGTGTCCCAAAGGTTCCCCACACCATAAAAGATGAATAATCCTCTTAGTGAGTTCTGATCTGCTCCAGTGAGGTGTGCCCGTCATTTAGTGGATCAATGTCACTCATTACCTCACTAATATTCACTTAATTAAGCTGCCTATTTTGAAGCCTATTCCTCAAAAAATGGTAAAAATTGTATTTAATGGTAAAATTGTTTAGATAGCCTTGTAGTGCTGGGTTTGCTGATTAATTTGATGGGAATTATTACTTTTTCTTCTTTAGTGTGAGGGTTGTTTTGGGCCTGTTAAGGAACTAATGTCACAGGGTCCCCCACCTGGAGGACCCTAGGGCTTACATTGTCAGCTGAGGTATCTTTGTTTACAAGGAGGACCTGTAGAGACCTAAAACATCTCCACAAGCTCTGTTTGGCTCCCATCGGCTATCATCCCTGGGCCACCTTCGCTGATACCTGAACCCATATTGCCACAGTAAACAAGATAGTGGTAGACACCAGTCACAGTTTTCTACTTCCAAACATCTTGTTATACGTGACTTCAATGTGAAGCACTTTGTGATTCTATGTCTGGGATAAGTGCTACAGTATATGAATAAAATGTACGGACTTACTTACTACGTCACTTTAAATGGTGTTTCTCTTTTGGGGACTCTAGTAGTTAGTCCTACAGGTGAAGTGGTAAGAACCGGCTGTTTCTCCTCTGACATTATTGGGCAGCAAACGTCTCACACCAGTGGTGTTCCGTTGCAAAATGCGTGAGCACGTAATGAAAGGTGAATGAGTGGTGCTGTGGTTCAGTGAAACCAGCAACCAGATGGTCCAATTGTTGATTTCGGATCGAACCATGTTATTAGCTGGTACTGATTTAAATAAATGCAGGAGAACTACTTCATTATTTATTTTTTCTCCACATAATATTTATGGCTATATTATGTTAG